TATACACTCATTGAAGATTGGCCTGGCCGTCCAACCTTGGGAAGGGGCTTTTGCCATTCAGGGCCTATGGATCCCATGGCGTTTCGCATTGCAAATGCACTTGTTGGAAACCCTATAGGTCTGGAAGCCTTGGAAATAACCCTGAGTGGACCGGAACTACGATTTCTGGGACCAGCCCTGATTTCATTATGTGGTGCTCCAATCGAAGCCAAGCTTGACGACGCACCCCTCCCGATGTGGTCGAGGGTGAAGGTCTCAGCGGGCCAGCGTTTGAAGATCGGGAAAACAACGGGTAACGGCTGCAGAGCCTACCTTGGTGTCTTCGGAGGGTTCTTGAATGTCGCAGAATGGTTTGGATCCAAATCAACCACTCCGGGTGTTGGCGTCGGGGGCTATCAAGGCAGACAGCTTGCCTCTGGTGATCTTCTTTCGATTACTACTCAATTACCAGAAGTGAGCGGTGACCTCCGCTTACCGCAGCATCTTATTCCTCAGTACCCTGATCACTGGGAGTTTATGGCCATGCCAGGACCGTATGATCAGGGATATCTTGTTCCCGACAGCATTGATATGCTTTACAGCGCGAACTTTAAAGTGTCGCACAACGCCGCTAGAGGAGGCATCCGTCTGCTAGGCCCGAAGCCTACTTGGGCTCGCACAGATGGTGGTGAAGGCGGTGCGCATCCTTCTAATTTGATCGAGTACGGCTATGCGATAGGATCTCTTAATTGGACGGGTGATGACCCGGTCATATTCCCCGTGGATGCGCCTGACCTGGGGGGTTTCGTCAGCAGTCATACAATCTGCAAAGCCGACCTATGGAAGCTGGGGCAGGTAAAAGCAGGTGATACTCTGAGATACCGTGCTACGTCTTTGGAAGATGCTCTGTCTGCTCGCAAAGAGCTAGAACGGTTTATCGACGAGATCGCTCAAGGTTGCCAAAGGGGTGACCTCAGTAACATATCGCCCGTCAAAGGGGACCTAACTCCAGAGCTGACAGCAGAGAAACGCGGACAGGGGGTTATACACCAGATCCAGGAAAGTGGGAGCCAACCTCTTGTTTCATATCGTCAGGTAACCCAGCAATTCATCCAGCCCCTCGTACTCGTTTAGCTGACATGTAGCCAGGCCGGCGACGACTATCTGCTGGTTGACTACGGCACTGGGTCCTTTGATCTGAACCATCGCTGTAGAGCTACTGCTTTGAAGAAAGCTTTGACTGAAGGAACTGACGATATTACCTTCGCGAACGGGCTAATCTCAATTATGGGAAGCGGAAATAGTAAGCTTTCCCTCACACTAATCCGTCCAAGACTATGTGCTGACTGTGGGTAGCTTTGATGATATACTATGACGGACTAAAAATCCCACAAAAGAAGCTCCTAACCTATCTCTGTGACATCGAGACAAAACTCGGTGACCTCAGCCAAGCAAAGTTCCCCAGTCGGCTATTCAAGCTCCCTCTCTCCTTCGAGAGCCAGAGACAGAAAGACGCAATCACCCGATACATGGATACCCAGCGTCCCTACGCTTCCTACTTGCCCGACAACATCGACTTCGTCGCGAAGAACAATGCCTTTAGTAGAGAAGAGTTCGAACGGATCTACCTAACCGCCTCCTTCATGGTTATAGCAGTTGGTTTCTTCACTGGTCTCCCGCTCTCCCTCCCAGTCGACCCACGCTACCGGATGAACTGCCCAAAGATGAACCCCAGCAGAGTCTACACACCAGCCGGCTCAGTCTCCTGGGGCGGAAGTTGCATGGCGTAAGCATCAAACCAGCCACACACACACGATCAGCACACAGACTAACAGAAAGCAGACTATACAACGTAGACTCACCCGGCGGATACCAAATGACCGGCATGACCATCCCGGGCGTCGACATTCTCGGCTCCAAGAAAGGCTACGAAGCCAACAGACCATGGCTGTTCGAAGACTTCGACCAGATCACCTTCTACCGCGTCTCCGAAGAAGAGTACGAGAAGCAGCTCGCTCTCTTCAACAGCGGCAGATATGAATACCAGTGGGAAGAGGTTATCTTCGACATGGCGGAGCACAATAAGCTCCTCCGTGACACCGCGGACGAAGTCGCAGCTATTCGGAGCAAGCAGCGACAGGCACAAGCTGAGATGGACAAGCTCGAGACAGAACTGCTTGAGCGGTGGGCGAAGGAGAAAGCAGAACGCGGTATCCCGATGGATACGATTGAGAGTCTATTGAAGGGTATGTCTATCTCCTTTCACACAGAAATTAATCCGAAACAGAACGGAAGATACTGATCGCCACTCTCTTTGGTCTAGACCCTGAGATCACCCCCATTGAAGCGCCATTGAACGCCAATGTCTGGAAAGTAGAAGTCAAGGAAGGTGATAAGCTTGACAATGATCAGCTGGTTGTTATTCTGGAGGCTATGAAGCTGGAGATTGCCGTGCGCACGGAGTCCCTCGCTGTTGGGTCTACCGTGGAGAAGATCCTGGTTCAACCGGGTGACTCGATAGAAGCAGGGAAGCCTTTGGTGTTGGCGAGGAGGGCACAGAATTAATCCTCTCACTCGAGCAGATACTGCTGCCAGAACCAGTGTATACATGCCATTAAGTACCCTATTTGGGCCCAATGAGCATGACGCCAAAGTAATGCAATCTTCTGTGAATAGTACACAATGGACACTTATGGTAAAGTATGGTAGACACATAAGTTACTACTCCCAAACAGGCAATCACCCAAAAGGGCAATCGCATTCGAACACAGAATACACCTGAATACCTCCCTGACCGCTTCAAATTCGAGCTCATGCACCTAAGTATACAACCAAAATCTATCATACAACTCGTATCAGCGATGAAGATAGTAGCAATGCTAAATCCACCTAACACCCATCCCACCAAAAACTAACCCCAATCCCACCCTTCAAACTCCTTACATAATGCCACCACCCAATGGGTATATACAGCATATCGCCCGGCTTAAGCACGGTCTCGACATACTCCGCATCCAGAAACCCAGGCCACAGCTCCTCCCAATAGTCCGCCTCAGCAGGGGACATTTCAATAGCAGCGAGATCAACCTGCGAGGTATTGGACATATCCACAAGTTCAGGTTCTTCTTGCTCGTGGTAGTGCTGATTATGAGTGTACTGATGAGGATCCTGCCCATCCTCGGGCCGTCGTCTAACGACGGGTTCTTTTCCCTTCGGATGGATCTGCGAGAGTGGTGTGTGAGGGGAATATAGTCGGAAGTATTTTTCGCCTACTACTTGCACGTAGATGTTGTGGTATGTGTCGAAGTGGAGGGGGGATATCGTCCATGAGGGACCCATCCAGATGTTCAGGTGCGGGCCATCGTCGTCGGGTTCGTGCGAGGATGATGAGTCGGAGTCGGCGTCGGATTTGGGTTCATGTTCTTGCTCTTGAACTTGGATGACTTCTTCTCCTACTTTCCGTCTCCGGTCTTCTTCCTCTCGCTGCTGGCGGATGTAGGCCGGGGTGCCGGGTTCCGCTTTGGGTGCGTCAATGTGAATGTAATCCGGGTGCATGAAATCCTTAAATAAGGTCGGCATGTGAGAAAACAGATCATGCTGCGCCAAGTACCCCGTCGGACCCGCATCATCGCTGTGTCTATCCCGATCGAGATACTTCTCCACGAAGTCCTTGAAGGGCATTAACCGCTGTCCCCAGTCCTCATCCGTATACGACCTCCCAATCTCCACAGGGACAAGTCTCCGTCCGCCAAAAGTGCGATGCATCCAGAACTCCCTAGACGCCCACGACCCCGTCGATATAGCCGGCCAATCTTTCACCGCATCAGTAATAACAAGCGGTGTTTTCTTCTGGCGCACATGATCACGGAAATTCGGCGACGAGGACGACGTACCCCACATCGGTAGATTCGATACTCGGGGTATAGGGAAACAGATCTCAGGCGTCGGCGCAGCATCGTCAGAGAAGAGCGGAGTGGCAAGTTCGTCGGGGTCCAATTCATCGGGGAATTCGAATTTAGTTGTGTCATTCCGCTTGGTCGTCGGGCACGCACCCTGCAGCGCATTAATCACCGCTAGGACTAATGCTTCCCTCAGTGGTGCTCCGGTCATTATAAATGCCTTGTCGAGCATGTGTATCGTAGGCGTGAGCCATTCTGCATCCGGGTCCACCTCAATCAGCTCCTTATTAGAGCAGGCATCGTCGATAATACTCAGTATATTTTGCCTGCGCGTGAGAGCCGTGGAACCGGGATGTGAAGGAGAAGGAGGGAGAATCGAGTGTCCGTTGCGTTCGCGGCGCGGAAACCCGCAGTTTTCGGCGATCGTCAGACATGCTTTCAAGATGCATGCGTCGGTGTAGTAGCGGCGCCAGCAGATGTCGACATCTTTGAAGGGGAATACGCGGAGCTTTGAGTCGGCTAGCTTGATTGCGCTGTCGGGATCGCCGAGAAGGTGGTCGTGAAGTGTGTCGAGGTTGTTGTCCGGGAAGCAGCGGAGGATGGGATCGTCGGGGCGGATATTGAGGATCTCGAGGAGGGTTTTGGAGAGCTGGAGGTGGATTGGGGAGTATCGCATTCTTTGCGGGTTATCTTTCTATCTCATTGTATGTGATTGGAGTAGGGAGTGTCTTTGCATGAAGATGCTGGGTTTGACTCAAGAGAGTGATGGATGGTTTAATGTTGATAGTGTTGTTCTGGTCGCGTCTTTTTCCGAAGATCAATTAAGTATCCCGATCAAGACTAGCGTGTAAACCCCGCTATCTCCGAATGACAATTTGGATCTATTCAGATTCTCATCAACTACACGTTGGGGATGCTTAAAAGGCGTTCAATTTCACCAAAAGGAGGAATTGTGGAGCGAGATTGATTGTGCTATTAGACCCAGTTGTCTCTTCATTCGGACATATTCCCTGTTATAAATACAACCGCCAAACCATCAACTCCGACCCTATGTTACAAACTCTTCATATATACACCTTTTAGGCACATTTAGTACTACTTATCAACTCTGATTGCCGTTGCTTAATCAAGCAAATCCACAACAAGCTTTGGAATGCCGGCAACTCCCTCGCCCCTAATGGCACTGACAGGAACCGCGCAGACCTTGTCTCTCCGTCCATAGGGATGCCCGCCCGGATGTTCCTCTTCGCCGTTCTTAACGGCGGTAAGATAGTCACGCAGTGTCTTGAAGCGTTCTTGAGTCTCCGGGAGATCGGCCTTGGTGGCTACCACAAACCATGGCTTGGTGTGAATTGGAGAAAGATTTAGAGCGGGAAGTTCGTCTTTAGCTTTTGACGCAACCTTGTTAAGCTCCTGAATTGCACTTTCGGACTGAAGTTCAGGAAGACCATGAGTGGGCGGATTCCAGGTTAAATCATCTCCCTCAACTTTCATCGACTCTTCAACGTCACGGACGCGCTCGTATTCGCCCAGTTCGTGCCAGAGACCCTTCAGTCCTTGCACAGGGTCACCTGCGCTGAGGTCAACGACAAACGCCAGGATACCAGCGCGCTCGATATGCCGTAGGAACCCCAGACCAAGGCCCTTATCCAGATGGGCATCCTCGATCAGACCTGGAATGTCGGCAATAGTGAAGTTCGTCCGCCGGGCCTTTCCTTTGGATTCCACCAACGGTCGCCCTTTATTATTGTCGATGACCACCGTACCGATATTGGGAGAAAGCGTCGTGAACTCCCAGTTTCCGACCCGGGTGCGACTGTTGGTCAACGATCGAAGCAATGTACTCTTTCCTGCATTGGGCTTCCCCACGAGTCCAACATCCGCAAGCAGCTTCAGCTCAAACTCAAGCTCCAGACGCATGCCGCCTTCACCTCTAGATGCGAACGTAGGCCGGTTCATATTGCGAGTCACAAAGTGTGGGTTACCCAAGCCACCGGCACCTCCAGCAGCCAACAAGATCGGCTTGTCCATATGCTGCGAAAGATCGAGGTAGATCGGCGCCTGCGGTTCCAGTGCAGCGATATGTTGTCTCCGGGGCGGATTATTCGGAAACACCGTAGTCAAGTAATCAGACGGGTTGGCACCAGGGTAAAGAACCCAGCGATCATGTCGTATAGACGGTAGCCCAAGCTCATCTATTTCATCACTCTCTTCTGCGCCCTCCTCTGCCGCAGCAGCAGCGGCTGCTGCAGCTTCCTTGCGCTCACGTTTCCGGCGCACGATTTCCTCCGTGACCGGGTCGTAACGATCGACTTCGCGAACGACAGTGCCAACGGGAACCTGGAGCAGGACATCGTTGCCTCGTTTGCCTCCTTTGCTTTTCCCCTGTCCGTTCTTCCCCCGACCGGCCTTTATAATTCCCCTACGAGCCAGCTTATGTAGACTCGTCATGCCTTCAACGGCCTGAATATAGATGCTCCCGCCACTACCTCCATCGCCACCATTCGGTGGACCCTCTTCGACATATTTCTCACGAAGAAACGAGACGCAACCATGTCCACCGGCACCAGCATATATCGTCGAGCGACATTTATCCTGAAAGATGAAACGCGAATAGTCTTCGGGGGACGGATTCAAATGTGACGGTTCGGAGATATGATCGGGCAGTGGCGTTTGCTGATGATACTCTGATCGCTTGGACTCGGCTTCGGTGCTATTATACCGCTGAGACCAAACTTTCAAAGCGCAAGCCGGTGTCCTAGCCAGAGGACGTAGTCGGACGGAGTGTTGGGGGAGAATGCGAGGAATTGAGCGGAGGAGCCATGTTCTGTGAGCTGCCATGTTGTAAAATGTGGAGCTTAGCTATAGCTCATTCTGGGATGACGGGGAGAGGCAATTATGCGAATTGAAGGGGTATTAATCAGCTGCGATGCATTTTCCTGCCTTGTTTCAGGAACTCAATAGCTTCTTGGGATTGGGATTGATGATGAAATCGGTTGTCGATGTCATGGCTCATGCCGCATTTCCAGCAAATCCGACCGGCACGTGACGTTATCGGCACCTGATGATAACAGTGTTTACTGTCTACAAACAAACATTCACATTCAATATGGATCTGTTTGCTATCTGCCATTGTCAGAATATACGAGGTCCATCTATTGTCTTCATCATGCATCCGAAGTCTACACCATTATTATTATCCAGATCTGACAGTCAACCCAATTCCAGGCAGATAGTCACAAACTAACAACAGCAGAACCAAAACCAAACCCATAACCACAAGACATACATACAGGAACTCCCAAGTGAACTGAAATTCCAGGACCATAACAGAACAAACTAAAACCACTTGAATCCCACAACCACCACAGAAAGTCTATACTCAACATACAGCAATCACCAAACTGACCATTCATCCAATTACCAACTCATCTGCAACCCCAAAGCCCGCACATCTTTCTCAGGACTGTCATATCAAACAAAAGAAAACCTCCTGACTCCATGCACCAATAGCTAGCTACAGTCAGCAGAGGAAAATATGCAACAGTATGTGTGTCAAGATTACTTACACTTACGAGTTTTAGTCAACGAAGAATGAAGGTTGGCTGGCTGTCTGTCTGTCTGAAAGAGCGGCCAGGCCCAACGATCAATCTTCACTTGTCTTGCACTACATCGGGCAGAACTTTTCCTTTTTGACGCACTCAAGCTGAGCTGAGCTGCGCCGGGCTGGGTCAGGTTGTGTCGGCTTACATTACAGATGCAGTGTGTGCGAGGGAGGGAGGGAGATGTGCACTGCACTGTGCTGCGCTGCCCTGTCTCTGTTGTGTTGCGGTGATATCTTGCGCGCGCATATATCGGCGACGATTCGGGAAGTCTCTACGGAGTGTACTTGGTTGGTGGGTTTTTTATCCTCGAGGGGGGTGTCTGATCTCTGATGTCAGGTTGTGGATTGGGGGTATTCGTATCTATATCGGCATTGGTGGTTATACCGGACTATAAACTCTGTTCTGGTATAGTATTTACTCTGTTATTGACAATTGAAGCAAGACACATTAGGCCTAGGCTACCATCTCCAAATAAGGAAGCAGAATGAAACCTTTGGCAAACTGAGACACGGGTTTATTTTCCCTTCTACAGACAGCCTACCATAACACCGACCAACGTTCACCAGCATAAGGGCGTACAGAAACAAACAAACAGACAGGCAAACCAGACGGGCAGGCAGGCAGGCAAGCAGGCATCAAGTCGGGCCACAACAACAGCAACTCAAGTAACCTGAATACTTATTTGATAGACAATATATCAACAAGCGCACCATGCGACATGCATAATACTCCCATCCCATACAGCAAGTATATCCCGAGGAATGATCGCACAATGATGCAATCCTATGCATAGTATACAGTAGACCGCTCAAATCTCACCGGGCAAATACCCAACTGGGCTGAATTGTAAGTCAGTCAGTCAGTCAGTCGGGCAAGTCAGGTGTTGTGTTACAGTATATAGCGGTAGCAGCTGAAGTACTTAGGTGGCAGCAGTGGTGGTTTCAACTGCAGGGCTAATGCCGCGCGGACTCGCCACACCCGGGAATTGGTTGAGTCGCATGGCACCATAGCTGTTGAGCCACATATCCTTGTGGTACTTCGTCTCTTCTTCCCTTGTTGCTGTTGGTATAGAAAGTGGTATTTTGGGAGTAATCTGCAGATGCAGTAGGGGTCATTGCTGCTGGATGGATGGATTAGTCGGTGCTTGGTTACTGTAGTTACTACTGTGTGCTATGCATCTATTGTGTAGACCCAGTTAGTTATTCATCATTCAGTTGGGTGTGTACCTGTATCTGCGATCTGGACCGATCCACAGTGGCGAAAGTGAAAGATAAAAATACTTCATATGAAAAAGAGAGTTGCTGAATTAGAAATAAGACTGCGTGATTGTGGATCGTGATTGAAGCAAGTCAGTAACTAAGTGGTCAGTGGGCTCTTCTTTGGACGTGTCAACTTTCTATTTTACCTTTCGGGGACCTGATCTGGACTGTCGGATTTAGTCAAATGTAGAATGGGTGTGGATGCGCTAAACTTATCGCAGTTAATAGATACTTGACTTGGCCTTTTCGTCGAGAGGGTGTGTGTGTGGGAGAGTGGAGATAGGACTTATGCATGGCTTTACATATTGTGGATATTCAGTTGTTGTGGACGCACTGGACAGGCTTAGATATTGGGGTGGTGTGTCCATCCATCTGTCCCTCGGACTAAATCAGTACATGCTGCTAGTTAACTAGTATCTACTTTGGTAGTAGATCAGCAGGGGGTGGATGTTGACGCACTCCTCATCCAATGAACCAGATGTCCATTTATCGCCGACCACACGACAAGATCTCCATCATGAAACCCGATCAACAAAGCAAACAGACAAACAAGGGCTCCATTCGAAATCTGGGTTATCATGACATCTCAGGGGGGAAGGAATAATGCTCCAATAGTGAGAGCCGGAGATGTCCTCCCGTCCCGTGTGGATGTATCAAAGAACCTAAAGTTGTGTAGAGTTCTGTTATTTCCTTTGGCGTGCGCGCGGATAGCCACTGGATGCTGTAAGTTGGGGGGGAAGAGAGCTGAAATGTGAGTGTCTACTTAGTCTAGCTGGTCTTAGTGTCCCGGATCGGATCCGGGTGCCCGGCTAGTTAGAATGCCTTTGCTTTTTGGACTTTTCCTGTTCAATGCTTCTGGGGAACGGAGGGAGGGGCGACTGGGAAATGGGTACTTTTGTCCGTTAGTGGCTGACATCCCTGCCCGAAGGATCGACTCGTCGTTCTATCCAGTCGAAGCTTACGCTAGCTTATCGGCCGCCTCATCTCATCTTGGATGATGCAGATGCAATGCATCCGGCGCGTAAAATGTATACTTCCAGCACCTCAGTCGATCACATGACGAAGGGGTGTTGTGTCTTCTGGGTCTGGCCATCCAAGTTTTGATTTAATAATTTCGGTCCAGAAAGGTAGCATTCTCCGGATCAGGTCCAGTTTCCGTGGTCCGGAATAGAGTGGGTGAGTCAATGGTTGGAAGCTGACAAGCACGGAATCCGCGGCGATCTATCCTGCACGAGCTGCCCTGGAATATATGTCTTTGCCCTAGGACACATTCCGGACCCGGTAGATAAGTAGTAATGCATTCTCTCAGTTCCTGCTCATCACCGCATAAGCAGGGCTGAGTAGATGCCCAGCTCAGTATCATGGTGAAGGCAGCCAGCCCGCAACTTGAAGGTGCATGCGGACAATTTCACAGTTAGTCCAATGCGTTGCCAGACTTGCGATGGAGGAAGGCGACACCCAACGTTGTCTAAATCTGACAGGCAACGGCCGTGAGACATATAACTAAAAAAGGAAGCCAGAATATCAAGTAATCCGATATGGTGTAGTGGCTAACATCGCCGTCTCTCACACGGCAGCCGGGGGTTCGATTCCCCCTATCGGAGCTCAAATTTCCTTTTTGATTTTTGCTTTCTTTTCATCTAGTGTCTCTCTATTCCATTTCTTCCCGCCCCGTTGTTGCGAAGAGATCGATAAATGATTCCTTCCTAGCGTCATTTCTTTTTTCCACTTGTTGCCTCGGTGGCGGCCTGTAGATTGACAGCTCGGCAAATATGCGACGACACGCCCGTTGGTCACACGTTACGACCAAATAGCGACCATTGGCAGTATTTTCCTGCGCGACGGCGCCTACCAAGTAGGCTACCTGCTCCCAGCCAGCCTGCGAAGCGGACTATAATTTCCCTGATAGGCAAAAGGTCCAAAGTACCGCAGGGAGATTACCCACCGTCACCACATTGTTACACTATCGGTGCCTGTCGCACCAGGGCCTCGCGACGAGAACTTGGTCAGGTGGTGGCCAAGTCCACCGTGCAAAGTGGGCTCACCGGCTTCGGTGCCGTATGTAGCACACCTTGTGATTTGTGTGACGTGAGCCCGGTTACCTCAATAGTAGCTGAGCATAATCTTGGTATGGCGAGTTGCACAGTGGGTCTTCTAGACTACCTTGTTTCCTGTAATGGCATGCCCATGCCGCTTCTCGATTGACGAAATGGAACATGGACATATCCACGACTGCATAATTCGTGGAGTTAAATGACCATTCGGGTTTATTACTGCACAGTGGACCGTCATTCCACGACCTACGATCTGCGAGTAGGATCATTATCGCAGAAGCTCGGTCGAGACACGGCAGATCATTGACAGGACTCCACCCGTCTAGATAGGCCTCGACCACCCAGTCGCTGTGCATCCCATGTGCAGACCTGGATGCTGCCAAAGTGACAGATCAAGGTCAAATCCAGAAATGACACTGGCTCATCTTGTTTCGGCACTACCATGCGTGGTGGGATGCTGTTCGCAGCAGACCGCCTGCATGACAATGCCATTGGCCTGGTTTGGGGTCTGTGATTGTGAACAAGGATGCAGTAGTTCGGCTGTCACAGGGATAGGCAGGCCCTTCTGCAAATCAGCGCCCGCGATCGACGAACTAGTCACGACGTCCATGAACAAGTTGAGATGCATAAAGTACCGGGCCATATTGCGATTTAAAGTTATGGTCCATTGTTGGCATCCCTGTCGGATACTACGGAATAGCGTACATACACTGTGTCGAGGGAGGAAGTCGAGGTAGGGGCTCCTCCTGTTGATGAATCCAGAAAGGCTAGATTCCGCACGTTGGGGCGAGGGACAAGTTCCCTCCGATTCATGTTGACAGGTACAAAGTACACAGTCGTAGACTCACTTACAGGGACTAGCCCACCTTGGCCTTGATATACAGCCGTTCAACTTGGTCTGAGGCTCCGCAGTGGATTCCAGA